TTAGATGATTTCAATGCTGCTAAAATATGTATTACACAAATTCAATAAATTTACTGAGAATATAATTTTCTCAATAAGTTTGTCACATGCTTTCATGGATAAATTATGAGTGGTTTTACGCCCTCTTATTTTCGAGTATTTTTTTGGGATATTTGTATTAATCAAGCAAGTAATGAGCGTTTTAACACATTAAAAAATCTAAATATCTCAAGAACCAACGTAAAAGCATGTATTAAATTTTAGTTCCATAATTAAAGATACTTCATTCCAAAATCAGAGATAATATAAAGCTTTTTACACAAAATAGAATTGGTACTGCTGAACGAAAATTCGCCTTCTTTTACATTTATAAATTTATAATACATATTTTGTAAGACGTATACTGATGGAGCAAGCTCCAAGCGGGTGTAACATGCTTTTTAATACCAATCTTCTAAACCAATAATATTTTATTTACATTGGAATTTAAAAAATAGGTTTTCAAAGTCTTTCATTAGTTTAACATGCAATATAATATTAACGAAATGGAGAGAAGTAACGAACTAATTTTTTTGCAAGAAAAAAGTACGACCAGGTCCTTTTAAAATCATTTTTGATAATTATTTCTTTTTGTACTGTTATTATTTCAATTCAACATTTAGATAAATTCAATTGTTGTTTATGGATTTATCATTGTAATATTTTAGGCATTGACATTTTCAAAAATAATAAGACTTATCAATAATTGATCAAAAACCGGTCCAATTCCAACTATGACTCACCTAATCATTCGACTAAAATTGCTCTAAAATTGTGGACAGAAAAATACGCTCTGTCTGAGTTAAAAAATAATTTTTTGATAATGTATTTAAGTAATATTCTAAAATAATATTAGCCTTTGATCGTTGTAAAAACGAACTATCATTTGCATTATTTTGTAATCGCTCTGGTTATTATTTCACGGATTCTTTACAAATAAAAGAGGTCGTCGTGCAAGAATTTAAATAATTGAAGTTTACCAAATGCGCTTGGAATTTGAAAACAATTATTACGCAACGCCATCATTGATGACAATATGGGCTCCAACGTATTACGTACAATTGTATCTTACAGCCCCTTTTTAAGTAAAATGGCGTGCTGAACATTTTCTCGTCAAGCTTATATTGTGCAATGGATAGATGAAGTTATAAATAGTTTTTAGAAAATTTGCAAATTAAAATCATCGAAGACGCGTATAAAGAAACAATATTTTTATTTGAGTTCAATATGAGCCTGACAAATTTTAATTCCATGAAAACATATTAAATGGGGTGACCCATATCCAAGTTGTGTTACTGTATCATTTTCTGAGTCAAATTTTGTGTTTTTGAAGAAAACATGTGTCTTATACATTTTTTTTTAGGTTTTTGATTATTTTTCATCGGCAACCTATAATTTAGAATTTATTTATTTTACAAGTAGATAAAGTAGTAGTACCTACTTCAAACACTAATGTTAATAACCTTTTTTCAAAATTACAACAATTTTGAGTATTTACTTAATTGATCAGGGTGCTCAATTTAAGTGAATACTATGTAGTAATATAGACAGGGTGTCTATACTATACATTGGATCTATATTTATAGGAGACATATTATGTTGAATATAAGAATTTAAAATAAATACAAATTTATTATTTTGTTGTACCAATATGACGTGACCTTTTTGTTAGTGACTCAAACGTATACGACTGCACGCCCAATTTCAATGAAAAACATATTAGGACTCTAGCGGTAATTATACAACATTATTACAATTATTATGTACTTGAAGGATTTTAGGAAAAAAACCCGAAATTGAATACAAATTACAATTAATATTGTTCAATGGAAACTGGACGCACAAATTATATATAGAAACATTATTACCTATGCGGTTATACAGTTTCGAACAATCAAGGGAATCCGATGACTTCCGAGGAACATATTATAATAGTTGCAATGACAGATGACATAAACGAAATTAATAATAATAATTATAATAATGTCACAATTCTGATAGGTAAGTATTAATACCAATACTACCTACCCATAACATGCACACGACCTTCCGAACGACGCACTTCACCATGAAGTAATACAATATAATATTATTATATACCTACTCGATATTATTATTAATGGTATAATATCGTTAACAAGCAGTTTGATATACATACATTATACTTGTGGCAGTTATTATAGCCCAAATTGAAATCGTGTCCAACCAGAATAGGTAATTACAAAAATGATCAATGTTATGCAGCACTCATGCTCACCCCACTTTTATTCTTTAATAACGCATTAATATTCAAATACGGAGTTTTAAATCGGGGATAATTTAATACTGAGAATTTGTTGTCATTGAAGAAGTATCAAAGATTGATACGAGCTCTTTTTTTCTCAAAAGAAAACCACCCTTTTTGACTGTATAAATCGATACTTCGTAGATATTTATTTTTAAATGATGAAATCAAAATTTAAACAAATATTTTCTGGGTTATTAAATTATTTTTATAGGTGCTAAAAATAATAGTCCTTACTAATGTTTTTACATAAAATATAAAAATATATTTAATATTTAGTCTAATTCGTATTATATATTTAGGCAATTTTTACAAATTTTAATATTGTAATAAATCGATAGTAATGAATTTTAATGAAAATAGTTTTCAAATTATCGTAGTCTATACATATTTTCATTGCTGTTATAATGCACCAATAATATTTCTATATTAACTCAGAAACTACTTGTATTTCGATTTACATAATATTATATCTTCATTTTTGAAAAAAATAATCTCCAATTATTATTATGGAATCTACGTATTTACAACGAATAATAAGGCCAGTTCATGGTAGGTACATCCGTTATGAGTTATGAATCTATGACTTACGAGTTATGGCTACATAATATTAATAGCAATGAAATATTGGCCCAACGATTTTACACCGATTCGAAAAATGTATCAATTTTTCCAGGTTAATTGCAAATTGGTTTGGTCAAATTTTTTTTTGCATATGTGTCAAATTCAAAGACTCCGTAGTCATTAGCATACTATAATCCGAGGAGTGTGCTCAGATATTTTCAAGATGAGTTAGGGAAGTTGAAGGCAGCATTTTTCGTGCATTTAATCTCGGATCATAACAATAAATCTATATCATTATCGAAGGATCAAAAAAATAATATCAACCTTGAGTTGATGATGACATCGCAAAGACAGTTTGAGGACATTTAGAACTGTCTATTCTCAACCTGGCAAAATATCAATGTCAGTGGCATACCCAGGATTCCGCTTTATTGGGGTTTGGAGGGTTGATCATTTGGGGTTTCTTACTTATGATCCTCGACATAAGCTTGGAATGCAGCTGATGCAGTATATGTTTTTAACATATTAAACTGTTGCAGCGATCTTCATAAAAATTCAATTTTTTATAAGTGGTTATTCATCTTTCGTAATACGTTTACATGCAGTACACAGAATTCTGACAGCTTTTAATTCCCGATGAAAGTGTCGCTAATCATCAAAATGGTGGCTGTTTTCCACAAAATACTGCATGTTATACGTTTGAGTAATTGTAAACTTTTTTTTCCCGTCTGTATAAATGTTTTTAATATGAATACTAAATGTGTCAAATATTAAATGTTTATTTCTTTATGAATGTTTTTTTCTCTCTGATTACATTATTAATTTTGTAAAGACACTGTATGTATAATATACATTGTATATATTTTTGTATCGCATTTACCAATTGTGTCACTACGTACTGATAGAAAATTTTAATGAAAAAAAAAATATATATACATTTGATTAAGGTTTTGGAACTATATTATAACTTACAGCACTTGACTGGAACCATTGACCTAAGAAAAAAATATAAGTCAATTTTATTAAAATAAGTATAAAGAAATTTAAATCAAAGTATGTGCGGTTACATGGTCACTCGTTATCAAGGTCTAGTGCGTTATTAGTGTATGATTGTTATATTAATACATTTAGAGCTAAGCATTTTTTTGCATGTTTCTCGATAATCGTTCAAAGCATAGAGTTAAGTGATGGAAGATATTAAAGTGTTTAATAATACCTGGAGCGTACAATTTTTTTTTTCATATTTTACATGTTACAAGTGCATAATAGTGTATTTATATTGTAATAGATACAGCATATTAATTTTACGTATTGTTATTTTATTTAGGGTACGACACAGGTATGCCACCATCAGGTGTGTCCAATTATGATTATTTTAATTTTATACTTATGTTCATAACAGTCGATTGTCGATACGACTGCAGCAGTGCCATGGCCCACGATAGTTGCCACAATGTTATCACTCAGCAGTCGTCCGACCATGTGCTCTGTATGGTACTATGGTATAACTAACAAACCGTTATATTATTGTCTAAAATTGCTTGTGGCTTTTAATGAAGTATTCCTAACAGTATGTTTGGAAATTGATGTGTCTTTAAAATGACCAAATCATCAAATGTTTTAATAGACAAATATTAGTAATTATATAGATACAATTATATTTACAAGTTGCTGTGTGGTATTATACCAGTCCATCAGTCGTCGATTCTGGATATGATAATAAAATATAACGCATTTATTAATTAACAATATTATTTTTGTTCTTTCACACTTTTACTATGTATACATCATTATTGTCATTCTTCGCTACTAAATTTTGTCACAGTAGACAATAAAATGGGCGTTGTTAAGTAATAAAAGTTAGGTATTTAAATATAATATATATGTCGCATCCACATCGCGTTATTATACATTTCACGAAAAGGACAACGTTTGCATCCATTTCGCGAAATGGAACCGTGGTTTCTCCACTTCACGTAATTACACAATATGGATGATATTTCGTGAAATGGATACCTAAACCATCATCGACGGAACTTGTTCCGTCATTTGGATGTCCATATAGCAAAACTTAAAAAAACTCTAATTTAATTATTATTTTTAAGTAAATGTTTTACAAATTGGTACTTTAATACAAACTATTATGCTTACTAATTTTTACATATTATATTTAATGTTTTACAAATATTATAATATTATAATACTTTAATACAAACTATTATTTATTCAGACAAGTTTGTGAGTTATGGCAGCGAGAATTACATTTTAAATTACCTTTAAAACAAGCACATTTTTTAGTTTGACATTTGCCTTTACAACAACAGCTTAAAAAACCTTGACCTCCAGTTAAAGAAGAGACAATTTCTCTTAATGACATCTCTTTTGTCTTATTTACTTTCTCGATGTCAATGAAATTTGATGTGGCTGGTTGTATAGTTCCAGGACCATACCAACCTTTCAGTATGCCATGTTCAGTTCCTAAATGGTTAAGGTCATTTTTTTGGCCAATCACTACTCCAATAATGTTGGCTGGGTCTGCAGGACCTCTATCCACCTTTGGAACCGGGATTACAACACAGTCTCCAACTTTAAATGTTGGTATTTTGATCTTACTATCCTATAGCATAATGGAATAATTAATTATTTTAAGTAAATTTTATAAAAATCAAAATTATTTTACTTGTAACATTTTTTCGGCTTGCTTTTCTATTCCTATAGCGCCTAGATGACGTGCTTCCTTAATTTTTATATTCTTCTCACATAAATTACATAAAATTGCTTCGGCGGAGTCCGTTTCCATACAACATTCTGTTCCGCAAACATTACATGGAACAGTTATTTTTTCGATCTCACTTTCTTCTTTGTAGATTTCTTCTAAGTCTTCTTCCGTTACCAATTTTTGTAAAATTTCTATTGGTAAATTGGATGTAGCTAATCCAACTTTCGGATCATTCCCAAATAAAGCCTTATACGGTGACCTACCAATCACACGATGATGAGAACTATTTTTTTGAAATTGAACAAATTGTAGTCCAATTGACCATTTCTTTGTTTTGTTATCTTGAAGTATACTAATCTATTTCTGTCGAATTGGATTGAATTAATTAAATAACTTACTTATTTAATTTGGCTTTTACTAAATTTTGAATCATAGAATTTCTTTCGTCGATGCTGTGTGGTTTTTTGCCAGGTTTATCATTATAATATAAATCGAGTTTTTTATAAAACTCATTTTTTTCGTCAAACGACATTATTTTATTTATTTACTAACGAAGTATATAAAAGGAAAAAATAATAACTTTCTTATACACAAATTGCAATCCTTTCAATACTTCCCTGGCTCTGCGGGTGTCTGGGTCGACCATGAACAATGGTTTTTTATAAAACTCATTTTTTTCGTCAAACGACATTATTTTATTTATTTACTAACGAAGTATATAAAAGGAAAAAATAATAACTTTCTTATACACAAATTGCAAACACTAAACACACATGTATTCAACGAACTTAGCAAAATGAAAACTGGTATGCATTGGTGGGTCGAATTGCCGACGATTATCTACCGATAATAGTCGAATTGTCGACGATTATCGACCGATAATAATACTTATAAAATAGATGATATCTAAATGCAATATTGTGACTGTCGTTTACTCGTTTATAATAGAGCAGATAAGAATTTTTGTCACTCCAAGCAAACAGCTATATATGGACATCCAAATGACGGTAAGCATAATAGTTTGTATTAAAGTACCAATTTGTAAAACATTTACTTAAAAATAATAATTAAATTAGAGTTTTTTTAAGTTTTGCTATATGGACATCCAAATGACGGAACAAGTTCCGTCGATGATGGTTTAGGTATCCATTTCACGAAATATCATCCATATTGTGTAATTACGTGAAGTGGAGAAACCACGGTTCCATTTCGCGAAATGGATGCAAACGTTGTCCGTTTCGTGAAATGTATAATAACGCGATGTGGATGCGACATATATATATTATAAAAAATATATTATATATTAGAAATATATATATTATATTTTACTGCACAATGCAACCAATTTTGCATGTATTATGGTTTTCTGTATAGAATTAATAGTAGGTATAACCCTTTTTAATAATATATTACTCCTCTTTCTTGATAGGTATAGGGTAATATAATTTATTTATGTTTTTGGTTGTGAATTGAGGGGTCTAAAGACTCTACAAAAAATAAAAAAGTGGATAAGTGGGTGACGTTACACGTGGGTCACTGTATTAGAATCTAATAATTCTTAATTTTCTAATTATTAGATGTTGTTAAATTTGAGTACAATGATTTAATATCCTCAGCGATTTTTAGAGGAGATTGTTTGTCGTCCTATTATAATAATTTATATTACAATTATATTGATACTATTATTACTACTGTAGCAGATAGGTTGAATTAATGCTTTGGCATAAATTATATTAATTGTATATAATAATATACTTTAGAAGTTTCAAGTACCCATGAATAATATTTTTAAAGTACAACAACAAATTGTTATTCTTAGTTATTTATTATGGAATTTCATCCAATTTAAAAATAAAATAACTATTAAAAAAATGTGGTTTTATATTTTTAGTTTTTTGTTTACAGAATAACCTGGTAACGTGGAATCTTGTTTTCAATTTTAAATTCTCAGCTATAAAAGTTGAATATTTTCTACATTTTTAACTACAAAATAATTTCTACATTTTCGATTTGATAATTTTGTTAAATTTGAACTTTAAATGCATATAAAAAAAACCTCCTTATAATGTATTTTTAATATTTTTCAACTATTGTTGTAACAATATATCAGATACCTCGTATTAAATTTTCAAGCTTTTTGACAAAACGAATAAAATTTTATTGACTTTTACAGAAAAAAAAAAAACAAAAAAATTGTGTACTGAAAATATCAGTTATCAGCTCAACACAATTCAAAATATTTTGAAAATTTTATGAAGTATAGAAAATGATAAAATAAACATAATATAATGTAAATTTCAAGTAACTAGGGTTACTCGTTTTTGAATTACTACAAAATAAGAAAATCACTTCATGAGGAATTGAGTAAATATCTAATTTTCTAAACATTTAAACTTTAAACGCTCATAACAACTTAATTTGACTTTCCTGTAGACATTTTATTTATAGTTTTTGAGAAACGTAGATAATCTTATTAGGAATATTGTATTGAATTTTCAAATCTCAGATTTAAAAAAATTTTTTTATTAATTTCCGCTAAAAACCACTTAAAGGGAACTTTGACATTTTCAAGTTTTTTGACCAAGTAACATTTTTACAGACACTAATAATTAAATAATTAGAAATCCAAACATCCAATTGAAGAGTCAAAACACAATATCGAAAACGATGAGAAATATTAATAGAACATTTAAGGGCAAATTACAAGAATAATACTAAACTTGACTCTATTAAGTTTGCATCGTTGAAATATTTTATTGTTCAATATTTACATAATAAAATAATATTCCTAACTATATTTTTTTTCTCGTCCTGGACACTTAAAATTGATACAATATAAATCATGAATTACAATTTATTTATTTATTAAAAATATGCGAATATACGGTTAAATAGAATACAATAAAATAATTAAAGTAAATTCTAAATTTTAGGTTTAAGCGTATATAGCATTTGTCAAAATTTCTTCCCGTTCGAATACGGAACGGTTGTCGCGCCGCGCAAGTTTAAAACCGCCTCGTATCACCGCTCTGCCGGCGTCAAAGCTCCAGAGCATCCTCCGTCCCTTACTTATCGCCACCAAATACGGTCGACCTCGATCTGTCTGTCGTTTATGCTGCAGAGTCGGATGAAACTTCTCACCTCTTGCGGGCCCAAGTTTTTTTTGCCCTGCAATCGGCCAAGGTGACATTGTTGTTTGGTTGCTTTCGGTGAGTCTTTATGCCATGTACATACACCCCGTGCATGCAGTCCAGCGAGTAACGACCACGTCGTGTGATACCTACGCGTGAGACCTATTTTGGAGAGATTTCCAGACCGTTTCCATTGCAGCCTCGTCTACGAGGTGTTCGAGTGTGGATTGGGAGATATTGTACAGTCAACGCTGCACGGGTGCTGCTGCCAAGTCATCTTTTTTTGTGTTATTGTATCTATTTCTTCTAACTAATTTATTGCTAGATCATAGTCGATGGCTTACTTTGTTACTATATATATAATCTTGGGCTCCTTTGGCATTTATTAAGTCTATAATATATGGAATATACGTATTTATAAATTATTAAGCCAGTCCTGTAATTTTGGGCAACCGTACGTTTATACACAACAATTAGGTATAGCCCACCACCTAGTTGTAGGAGTCTATCGGCGTAGAACACTTCCTCAGTCCAGAAAAGGGCAACCTTCATCTCTCTTAGGTTTTCTTGCAACAGGTCCTCTTCCATGCATTAGTTAGAATTCATTACGCATGCTAGGTGCCTCGGTATATCATTGTCTGTTTTTGGTTACATCGGCATTTTGTGACGGAATCGTTAGGGTAACTATATTTAAACATATTATCTTTTGATCTGCCTACGCCTACTATCATTCTATTGAGAGTTCTCCATGTCTGATATTATAATTGATAACCTAAAGATAGATGGCTCTATTCTCCAATTTGTATCAGTGATTTGGTCTTTCCTCCTCTCAATTCTTCTCAGCGATGGATTCAATGTTAGGATCTATGACATCTTTAAGAAGATTTTCCTTGACTTGAAGCAAAAAATGGGTATTTCTTATCCAAACAATTTGGTGACTTTTATCATCTGTTTGTTCAAGTTTTTCCAGGTTGGTTGCCACAGTTCTATGTATGTAGGGAGATGCAATACCTGCTAACAGACATACTGCTATAAGTGTATACGTCCACTTTTTTGGTCAAAGTTGATCGACAACAAACAGACCATGCATAGTCCACTACGGAGAAGCATATAGTACCAATTAAGGCTGATACTCTCAAATCTTAATGTGTGGGGTTGTGCACACCAGGCATTGCATCCTATCAGCATTGCAGATCAAGTAATTTCGGATATATATCTTTTTAAGCAGTTTTCTCACAATGAGATGTATACGTAAGTGTCCTATCAAAAGTTTCTCCTAGATATTTTGGTGTCTTGCAATGCGTACCTAAGTATTTCTACTTCCCAGATAACTTGAAGGTTCCGGTTTGCCTCTTCATTCATGAGGTGAAAAGCGCACACTGGAGTCTTGATAAGGTTTGGTTTAAAATAATTGTCATTATAATAACTAATCATTATTTCCAGTAAGATAGGTAAATTCTAATTTCACTAATATGTTGAGTATAAAAAACTAACACTTAAAAAAAAAAAATTACGAAAAAATAAATGTTTAGTATTTTAAGGAATTTAAACTCAAAAGCATGATTGTCACAAAAATCGAGAGTTTTAAAGTTTTTTAACCATAACTTACAAATATGGAAGACGAGTACCTAATATCTATCAAATTGTATATTGTATACTTTTAAATATAAAATTGTGTAAATAATGCTTTTCACTCCGATTTTTGGAAAAAAAATTGTTTTTGAGTTTAAAATACTAACAATTTCTATTTTTCTATTTTAAAATTAAATTGAATTTTCAATTACTATACTGCAGTTGAAATAACATATTATAAAGTTTAAATATTTGAAGTAACATGATTTTTCATACTATTCTTAGTACAGTTTACTTTACTAATTTATTTGAATTTAGACTCAACAATTACATGCTAAATTTATACTTAAAAATACATTATAATTTTCAAACTTTAAAGAGTGTACGACTGGCGCAATACACAACAGAAAGTATTAGAGTGCTTACCTAGGTAGTAGCTAGTAGGTACCTGCCAAAAAAAATGGTATAGACTAATAGGCAATAACCAAGACTGACTACCTACCTACTAAAGATTGGCTCATTTCCAAAATCCAAATATTTGGAGGTGGGGTACTTTTCTTTTTACTTTTAATTATGTAATAGTTCTATAGTTCTATACCGATTCAGCTCGTGCGTCACTGAAACGAACCATTAGGATTTTTTGATAAAAATTCTGAACATTTAACTTTGTGACTTCCATTATATTAAACAGCTTTATTTAAAATTAGGAAAAGACTCTTTTCAGGGGAAGTCAATTGATTCACTAGATTCATAACTATGCGTAGTTAAAAAATATACAATTTCTTGGCAACACCGTCCGTTGCTTTAAGCTATTTTTTCGCTGATAGCTGTTGTTATGCTAATATCATGTTCATCATTGATTAAAAAAAACAATATTTTGAATGATGGTACTAGCGTGTAGGTAGGTACAATCTGTAGAGGGTGAACGTTCTAGATGTAATGCCTCATATTTAATAGATTTCCACTCGCTTATATAGTAGGATCATGTCAATGGTGCGACTCAAAAACTACCAATGTAATAAATATATTTTATGCTCAACGTGTTAGTGAAATCAGAATTCACCTATCTTACTTCAGTTTTATTTTTGTTATTATTATTAAACCATGTAAAAGTTAGTTAGTTATACATGGTTTATTAACAATAACAAAAATATAGTAGGTAGTAGGTACTATAAAAAGTCATATTAAATGAAATATTTATAAGTTAAATGTTATTTCGACTGCGAAATAGTAACTGAAAATTTCATATAATTTTAAAATATATGTGAGGGACGTAAGACCGACATATTTTTGGATGCAGTATATATTGTTGACCGGAATGTTCCTGGTTCAGGAATTTCCATTTCTACTTTGGCAATCGACCATAGTTGCAATTTAGCTGATCCAAATATTAAATAAAAGAACATTATGAACGCAAACGAGGCTACAATTATCCATAGAACCGTGTTCCATTCTTCCTTGGTGTTCTGCAAAATAAACAAGCATAAGGTAATATAATACAAAAAAAGTAAAACTGTTGATATAAAAAAAGATGCATTTAAAAATGGTAAACATTTTTAAAAAATTTGTTCTGAAATGAATTTTGGAAACTTATGATCAAAACTGCATTTAAGTCCAAGTTTGTTTATTATTATTTTTTTTTATTTATTAATACGGCTTCGACATTAAAGTCATTAACCGGGAACAAAACACGTTTACAAGTTATTTACAATCATCATAATATTTAAATAAAGATAATATAGTATATTACAAATATATAGTGATAATGGTATAGGTAACAATAGTATATAAAAATTTAGATTCTATTATATAGATTGGTTATTTTAAGGAATGTTATTAAATAGCTAAAATTGTCTATACTTAAAATATCTCTTAATGTTAGGCGAGGAAAAATTTTTCTTTGTTCGGTTAGATTAGGGCATTCTAGGAGTAGGTGTGTTATGGAAATCGAGGCGTTGTTGCAGAGTTCGCAGTTACAGACCAAGTTTGTTTATGTTTACTTTTATTTTATATATTTATTTATCATTATATAAATAGCCAATTGTTTTAATCGATATTTTGTTATTTTGTTCTATTCATAATTTCCTTTGTAAATAACTTTTAACTGTAATTGTTAATAATTGTATAGTATCATAATTGTAATTACGTTGTAACTATGTTCCTCCGCCACAAGCCAAGCTTAATAGAGGTATTTAATAATAGCACTCTTATTTATATTATTAAAACTCTTTACCTGTTATGAAAAAAATGTACGCGCAGTAACAATAGTTACTACATTTAGAAAAATAAATCAATAAATATAGTAATATACGTATATATAGATTATAAGATTAGATAATTGTATTAGGTATCTAAAATTGAAATAAAAAATAGCATTTAATAGATATCTGTATTAATGTACTGATTAGTTAACGAGCGCGGCAAGGGTGTAATAAAAACGTGTTTTTTATTAAAGATCTGATGATCAGACTTTTACTGTAACAATATAAAGGTTTTTTTTTTTCTAACTTGTTCAATAATGATGCTGTTGACTACACTCGATGGACTGGCAACCAAGAATGCGATAAACGTTGATATACCGGACAACAAACCAGAATAATTTGGAGCTAAATCGAGGAGTGTTGGAAAGAAGCCTCCACTGTAAGCGAAATCACCTAGAGCCAAGTTTATTGATATTGCGACCATGATATGCAATTTGGTAATGTTTTCTTCATAGATTATGCTTAAGAGTGACGTAATAACCATTAGGCACCCTGTTAACGAACGAATAATACATAGTTGTATAAATATATATATATCTATACTTGTACAATATGTTATTTAAAATCCATTTAAACAAAATTCTAAAAGACTTTTCCACTTTTATAAATATTAACTTTTAAAAAATTAAAAATGTTGTAATATTTAGAATTTAAGTGTCAGTACTCAGTGCTTTGTTTAATATTACACTCAACAAATTCATTTACAAATGTGATAGTGTAGTTTTTAAGTGAACTTCGCGCAAACTTTCATTTTGATTTCAGAAATTGTAACAGATATAACTTGTTTAATTAATACCATTGCTCAAAGATGATTGCTATTAGGTCGAAATAAATAATACCTTATTTTCGTTTCTTACTCTAACTTGTTGACTAGTGCGTACTAGTGCGCTGGAGCGATACAACAGCTCCACAGTACACTAACATCACAAAATAGATATGTCCTAGGCATGCGAGGATTGAGATAATTTTGGGCCGGGGGGGGGGCAAATAATAATAATAACATATCCATAGATTATATTATAGGAGACCGACTACCCGTCAGGGGCTCACCATTGTTCGATGTCCGTTGTGGGCCCAGGTCCATGTCCTCTCCCCTGTTAATTCGGGCTTGGTCATAAGTAAGTAATTCCAGTATAGGTATCATCACAGATGATGTGCATCTCCATTCTACCTCTCAGTGGCTCTTATCTATCACTCTACTTATGTAGTAATGATCCACTTTTTATTTTCCAACTATATAAGAAGTAAAGAAACTACATAATATGTAGGAAAAGTGAAGAAATATTTGTATCAGGTGTGTAATGTATCACAAAACTTGAGATGATAGCATGATAGTGATGATACATATGTATTTTGTAGTGAATACTAATGATTAAATCACTTTACAATTATACAATATGCTTATCTATATATGAACTACTGATAGGTACTACTTACTACTTACTAGTACTTAAAACGCACACATCTACAGACTACAACACTCGCGCACTTAGAAAATTGCATATTATACTCCAAAAAACGTTATGTATCAAATCCCCTTTAAAACATTTTATAACCAAAAAAATTATATGTCACGTTTAAAACCCTTTAGAAATTAAATCCATATCTTTCAAATTTCAGGCATGACTCCTGTGTACAATAATAATAAATAGCTAATAAGTAACAACATCTAAAATGTAGGTGCCAACTCCCTGTCAAATGTTTAAAGTAAGTTTAAAGTAAAATAGTAATATTACTTATTCATTATTAGTCACAAATTGCAAATAAGTTCGTTACCAAAACAACAGTATATTTTTCGACACACGGTTTGCGACAGCCCGGAAAAATGTTTGACTATTGGATATGTTGTAGCGTTAAAATTTCGAGTCAAAAACGTCAATATAAATGGTATGCAATACAAATATCCACTCTGAAAATTATAATTAGACAAACTCAGAGTGAAAATCACAATTCTATAATCATAACATAATGTATTTTTTCACCTCGCTAGTTCGGATACCCAGCATGGTCTGCAAAAACATCGGCATGATGTTCATCATGGTGAACACATTCCACAAAAATGCCGAGTAACACAGTATGTACGCGATAAATGGCATTGATGTGAATATGGACAACCACGGTATTACTGACGGCTAAAACATTAAGGGACGTGATTTACAAAAAATTATTAAAAACTTTATTTAAAAATTATTAAAATAACGGTTAGGGAGAGGTAAATAAAATCTTTAATCACAACCGAGATCACAATGAGTACATTATGTCTTCGAATTACGGAGTCGTAGTATTATGTGGAGAATTAGATGAGGTTCGCCTACTAGGTATCTTTTCGTTTTCCATACCCAGAGAGTCTTCGATAATTTTTTTTTTATTAGAACGGTGAGACGTGGTCTAACAATAGGTATAGGCTATAATAATGACTGAAATAATTTGAAATTTGATCTCACGTCATAGCAGCACTATATCGATTCGTTCGTGATTAGGAAATCATAATATTATGTATAACAACCACAGTATTCTATATGTATGATAAAAATGTGGGGTCGTTCTATCGTGTAAGTATCTATGTCTAGAATCACACATGTATGCCATCCTTTTAAATTTATATTATACACTTAAAAATAATATGGTACTTAGTACCTAATGTACAATTATTACCTCATCGGATATACCAACGTTTTGTAATAGGTATTCATGTTCTTCTGGAGTTATGTAAGGGTGGTTGTCGGGCACGTCGTACAAATATCGGTGCCAATATAATATGAACAGAGAAGATATCATCGCTGAAATTTGTAACAATTTTATATCATGTATAACAGACTCAAAATGTATATGTGAACACCAGATACTGGGCTGTATATACAGAGTGGAACATAAAGATCGGATAAATCAAATAACTTTTGTTTTGAACAATATTTTTAATTTTTGTTTTCCATATAATTTATTGACTCGATCGCTTCGAGTATAATACTATTTTTTTATTTTTCCATACTGAAAAAAATTTAGTTAAAATTTTTTTTTGAACATTCGAAATAGTCAATTTGTAAATCTAATTTTTGGAAAACTTTGGTTATAAAAACATTTATCTAAGTCAAGTATTTTATTTTTTGCGATTTAGAAAATGTCTACATCTGTATAAGATCCGAAAAGAAGCTTTTTAATTAGCATTATTAATGGATACACTATACTTCAGCATTATACTAAATTCATTTCAAAATACAATAAAATCCCTTAGTTTATCATATTAAAATAGACCGCAGACATTTGCCCTCCGATCACCATTTACCACTCAGTTATCTGTATCTATAGGATGCTTAGATCTGCCGCGGTACCTAACTTTATCATTTACCTGGTATGTAAAATATTAGAGGCCATCCCCCAAAACCGTTAAAATTGGAACCGCACAATGCACCGCTCAGCGGGTAAATCATAATAGTCCCGAACGCATAACCGCTGAAGCCGAAACTAAGCAGAATCGATGCCTCGTCTTCCGACATCCAGGCACTGAACAACTGGAAAAACGGACCGGCCAACAAGCCCTGTAAAATCATGTCGGGTGCAATAATTGTTTAATATTATACAATTTATGTATACGGAATACGGGTAGAACGCGCTAATTTATTATACTCTCTTATGCACTCTCTTTGTATTTTGACATACAACTGCACTTTTAATTTTTATAATTGAACAACTAAAAATTTAAGTAGCTAGATTACCTATATTAGACATTTACTTTTTTTAGGTTTCTTTGTATAATTCCATCTATACAACAGGATTTTATAGTGACATAAAATGTCTATAAAAATCTAGTTGAACAGTGCATTACTATGAGACCCCTCACTGGCTGAACTCGACAGGACTTGAAAGAGCGGACTAGTCCCCCCAAAATGTGTATTGAATAGTAAGTCACCAAAAATGTTTTCTTCGATGTGACGTAAAATTTAATAAGCACAATTATACTATATAAGCGGTTTTAAATTTGGAAAACGTTTAGATTTGTGGTAGGTAAGTACCCATAATAAGGAATGCCCTGTGGCGATACCTACCAACTTTTTTTTTCAAATGAGCACCATAACTATTTTTATTGTAAATTATTAAGCTGATTATGTACTTATAAATCTAAATAATAATTGAAGATAGTAAATATATGGTCCAAGGTCCTTACGCATATATAAAAATGAAGATAATCAGAATTTTAATAAATAAGTACATAATTTAAAGAAAATGTGTGAACATAAACACTTGCTGAGTGATGCTGGAAACAAATTATATCTATGAATGTTGGTATAAATTTGTATTTATTATAAGTCATTTTCAAATAAATCAACTTAGTATACGTAGGGGAAATATCGGCACAGATTAATTAGGAGAAAATAGAGGTACAGCATACAGTCCTCAAAATTGTGGTCTTAATTGTACCTTTAAAATATCTGTACCTTACCATATAATAATTTAGGATGGAGTTTAGACAACAGTAAGATGAATTATTAGTTAAGTACTATTATTATACCTATAACATATAAATCCAATAAAAACGTCTAATATTTATTATAATATTTCTGAAAAATATCTTAGGCAGCTGCGGTTCTGAACCGTTTTATATACCAGACCTACGAGTAATACTGTCATGAGTACCTATCATCCACTAATTTCGAACATTTTCTCGTACACTCGAAAGAAAATCTACAGGTGGAATAAATATATAACCTTAAATAGGAATAGGTATTAAATAACCATGACTTATAAAAATTAATAAACTATTTGCTTGTGTTCATTTATACTTATCTATACCCATTACCCATTTAGTAGGTATCCATCAAGTACCCATTTCATCATCTATTTTTATTACGAGGATTCATTGTTATGTATTAAAGTTTAGTGATACTTTTGACTGTTGACAATATTTTAGACGAACAAAGAAGTCAATTGTATGCTTGATATTTGTAACATTTAGTAGGTAGTCTTGGTACCTATCCATTATTCCAATCAAAATAAAAAATAACTCGTTTTATCTTTTTGCTGGCTACAAACTATAGTGCTTTGAGCATTCTAATGAATCATATAATAGTCAATAATTAATGAACAGTTTTGAAAGTTACCAACTTTATTTTTTATTTTTACTCCCGTCAACTTTTATAATAATAATAATTCCAATTTTCTTACTCAATCGCGTCCTACACTCCCCCCTATATCATACTTAAAATGTCCTCATACCACGTCATATAAGCTGATTGAAAACAACTGCCTTAGTGGCCTCACTCCCCCCCCCTCCCTTACCACATTCATGTTTTGCGCTGAGGATGGTGTCTTTATTAAAGGTACCATCAACGCACTATAGACTTTAACCAACGACACTATTTACCGCGAACATCCCTTGAAGAAAACGGCACGCGAAAAACAATTCTGTATGCATCAGTGCAGCCGACGGGACCATCAGGTGAATTATGATGTTTCCGTATACTGCGATCATGAATGGAACTTTAGCACCGTAATTGTTTGCAATGAAGCCGCCCACCATAGTCGTCGATATATAGCCGTACAGGAACGCGCCCAAAATTCGTCCACGAGTCGCAGAGTCCCATTCGAATTCGCAGTTCTGTATCATATTTAAGTGAATATTATACAAGTTTAATAATATTAAATAGTTATAACTTAAAACTAAAAAGTTAAGGATAGACATTTTCGTTATTAAGTGAAAACTTTGAAAAAATTCATAGATCGCGATTCATTGACTAGTTGTGACATCAACAATAAATCCTACCAACAATATTAACTCTTGTACCTATTGCACTATTACAATCATAAACCCACACTTCTGTTAGCAATTTATCAAATAATAATCAAAAATATGTTCATTTAAATATAAAATGTAAATTAAAAAGTACCTAAAACGCATAAAATATACAAAAAATGATCAATGTAAGGTATGCCTAATATAAAAAAATCGTAAAAAAAAAACAAAAAAATTAATTTATATACCAACTTATAGGGTATGGCTAAGAATCAATTTAGGTAACTGCCTTAATGCCATATAGCAAACGGATTTACGTATATTTTCGTCAGCGTTGTGCGCACAACTATAAAATTAAAAATAAACATAATTGGTGACTAGGTATTGAGAGGTGACGTATCGTGCATTTAAAACGAAAATTCAACGACAAGGAATGCAGATAAATACATTTATTTATGTACCTATGATAAACAACATCATGTAAGTATGTGATCATTGTGACGTGTACCTGTTTAAGATTCAGCCACGGCAGCGTGGGCACAATGGCGTCGTTCGGTTCACAAGTTAAGTTCCCGCTAGGCTTCGACATGCACAGCAACGCTATCCCGAGATTATCCCTGAGAAGGGCCATATGAACCGAAGCCAAAAAAACACTAAACGCTATTGATAAACGGCAAGAACCCCATAAATTGGGCTTTGGGGCCAGATCTAAATTGAAAAACATCATAAACAACATGTAAATATAACGAATATTTTATACATAAGACAGTGCAAATAGGATGAGCCCATTAGAAATATAGAATAGTGTTTTGGCGAAGAAGTGTACACATTCTACATACCTAGGAACCCACTTAAAATGTTTGATTTATTAACAAATATTATTATAATTCTTAATTTCAGGTAAAATGTATAACATGATATTATATTTTAAACTAAAAAACCTTATATCAATTATCGAGTATGGTGATGTATAGGAAATAATTAAGTCAAAGAATAGTTGCATATACTAACTAAATAATTTCTGCACACCCAACGAAAAAATTCTGCACCCGCCTATATCTATTATTATATCCTCGTTTTGATCTGCTTGGTTTTACAAAATATGTTGGTGACCGGGATGGGGGTTACAATAATGACTTAAATATATTTTATTGCACCTCTAAAATCATTTTATAACTTCAACAAAGCAGATAACCAACAGGTCATTAATTTCTTTAACTCTTTTAATTGAAAAATAACTTGTTTGTTATACTCCCCTAACGACTCCATGTCTATATTCCTTGTTACTCTTCAATATTACATTTTTTACTTCGTTGATAAAATCTCTTTTTGCCCTACTACTTTCCCTGAATGTTACAGTTATGATCTCAAATAACTAATGTTTGCTAAATCTCAAGGTCATGACAAATTATAATTGTCCCAGCTTATATTTGATTACAAGCGCTTCTCTCATCTTCGCTCTAAATTTAAAATTATCTCCAAACAATGCTACCATAACTTTGTCTCTCTCTCGTGCAGAATTTTCTATTCTACGCAACATTTTATATTTTTAGAGTTCCATTAAGAAAAATTGCTTTACTCCTTATATACTTTCAAGTGTAGCTACAATCGATAGTGTACAGAGTAAAAATCATTCTGATACAGCTAACTTTTTTGCTAAATATTTTTCTTCTATTTTCACCCAGCCTTCTAGCACTCGGTCAGTCTAATGCACATTTTCGATCAGTGACGTTCACCAATTTTTAAGTTCCTTTTGCGCAGTTGGTCCAGATGGCATCCCGGGTGCTTTTTGAATACACTTCGATGGTTCGATCTATTTTAGCAAGACCATTATGGTTATTATTTGGACGATCAATTGACTCAGGTATCTCACCTCCTGCCCTTAAATTTGGCTCTATTAGACCAATATTGAATTCTAGTGATTCTACTGATGTCAGAAACTTTCATCCAATAACAATCCTACCTCATGTATCCAAATTATAGCAATTTACATATACAATATACAGCTCCAAATCACTATCTCGTGTTTTGTTCAATGTATCCTCCCACCGCAATCATCTGTTACTTTCCATAATCTATTATCTTCCTCAAACTACCTTCTCAACTCTCCAATCATCCGCCTTATACACATTGACAATACCTACGCTTCTTTCTCTCTCTAAAATTTGAGTCTAGTTGAAATTGAAAAACATTTTAATATTGTTATATTCATATCTAAGGGGTTCGTCCAGGACTGTACATTAAAAATAAAATATTTGATTTGAACCAAAACATTATTATGGACAATGGTCCATTGCTCACATCTTCCACTATATGCCACTGGTTTGAGTTATATATTAATATTTGAAGTGTATTATTGTTAAAATGTCTAAAATAAAAAATAGTAAACGCCTTTGCTGGTTAGCCGCATGAAGCAAATAAGTACTTACGATGTTCATGGTTGGGCATTTTGCAAGACAATCTGTGTACAGAATTTTTGCTGTTCAACAATTTCCGTTAAGATAACCCGTAACCACGGAAATATTTTACGTCTGTAGATATCTGATGTATATTATACTACATACCATAAATCATTAATTACCTATTATTATATGAATAGTCAAATTAATATTGTAGCCAGTGATAGGTAAATTACTTTTGAAAAGTAATACAATTACGTTACACATTAGATTAAATATTTTTACTTAAATGATATTCACGTTACCCAACATCAATTTTATCACGTTAGGTTACTTTTTCGTTCATATTGATGCTTTACAAATAAAGTTACATTTTTAAAAAATAATAACAAGACAAGTAAATATAACGACCAACAAGTATTAGGTATACTATTAATTATTATATAAATTATATAGAGTATAGGTATAACATTGATGGTGTAGGTACATTGTTAATGGGTTAATGTAATACGTGAACAAAATGTGTAAGTATTGATTCCAAGGATCTTTAATAATATTAGAGATTACTATTTAAAACTTCCAAATTCATACATAAATTGTGTTGATTTTTAATTTTTCTCGAATATTGTAGCCAATAGTTTTTGTTATACACTCTTCAGTCTGTATCCATTACTTATTTTAATAACGTTACTTCATAAAAATCACTTGTAAAAATAAATTCAAAAAAATTGCATTTGAAAATGGAATTGTGTATATAAAATATAATAATATACCTACTCCAAAAGTTTTCGGTAAATACGAATAATATTTTTAAATTACAACAAAATAACTAAAATTGTTATTGCTGACTTTAATATGTAATTCCATCCAAATTTTAACTTAAAATGACTCTAATAAATAGCTGTGTTATATATTGTTTGTATTTATTTTGGTTACAGAATTAGCTACTGACGTGGAATCTTGTATTAAATTTTCAAACCTTAGCTATAAAAGTTGAAGATTGTATACACTTTTAACATTTTAACTACAAAATAATTAGTACGTTTTGAATTTTAATAAATGTTGTCAACATTTGAACTTTAAATGTTGCATTTTTAATATTTTTCAACTGCTATTGTAACAAAATTAGGAGCCTTGTTTTCAATTTGTAAGCTTTTTCACTCAAAAAACAAAATTGTATTGAAATTTATAGAAAACGGCTCAAGACAAGTCAAAATATTTTGGTAATTTTAACAAGTATAGAAAATAATGAAAAAACTATAAGGTATATTTTAAATATCTGAGATTATTCGTTTTTGAATATCAAAATAAGAAAATCACTCCACGAGAAATCAAATAAATATCCAATGTTTATAAACATGACTTCAAATGCTCGTAAGAAATTACTGTGGATTTACAATTAACTTTTTTTTAATTTCCACGAACAGCAACTTACGGAGAACCTTGTATTACATTTTTAAGTATTTTAAGGATCAAAAATTTTTCTATCCTCAATAATTTAAAAAAAAACTAATACTACACGAAAATTCCATACGTTTATAAATAACACAACTACATGATCTAAATATATTGAAGATTGTATATGATGTTATGAAATCGTAGAATTTTAATACAAACATCCACTGTAAGTTGAATGTATCTACAGTAATTTTTTTTTTAGAGTTGCACCAAAAACCAAAATTTATTTTGTCAAAAACCGATTTGCGTAAAAAATTCCCGATTTTCCTTAATTCTTTTTTTTTTGTATTTCCTGGTGCTTTTGAAAAGAACTGGTTATTTTAAACTTAAACCTCTCGAATGCATCAACTAGATTCACTTTAACACCGAACAAAAATAATAAAATTGAAAATCGAACCAACTACTTAATGTTACACAGACACAAAACAACATTTAAAAAAAAACACACATCGATACATTTATTGCTCCAAAAAAAGAATCTAATACACATTAGTCTAGGGTTCGGGACTTGTTAGTTGTTGCTTTTGCATATTGTTTAATAATGACTGCAAAATAGTCTTAGTAAGATATACATTTATTTAAAGTCATGACGGATTGACGAACAATAATTTTAATTGCATATTCTCGCATATTTCGCCGTTTTTCGAACAAAACGCATATTTGACAAATTTTGGTAATTTAATTTTTATTGATAGCATATATACGCAGTTTTCGTTTTATTTTAAGTAAATTTATTTTGAAGGTTAACATTATTTTTTTTTACTTTCATGCGTCGGTCAATATACCGAATCATAGAACTAGTCAGGACAGGGCAACTACGAAAATACTTAATTGTTCTTGCGTATAATATCGGTTATCGACTTATCGTTTATAGTGTTATTGTTGTCAAAAAAATACCAATAAAAAAAAATTGTGTAAATTAAAATGAACAAATCAAATTTTTTAATTGCCATTAAAAAATTATCCAGTTACATATTTTAGAGCATATTTCGATTATTTTAAATGCATATGTGCATCCATATTTCCTACAATTTGTGTACAATAAGTCCCGAACCCCACGCATTACCATTATAACATGCTCGGGTTTTTTTTTATTATTTTGACATTTTTAATATTTTAATACATTAAAATTAATTGTATTTTTGTCACATTTCGACCAACTAATATAAATTAATTGAATAGATTCAGAGAATAAATTCAACGAAAAATTATAGTATTAATACGAATGTAAAATGCTGGGCACTAGTGTTTAATTAATATTATAATATAATATGTATACCAGACTTCATTTGGAGTCTACAATTTATTCATAAAATACAAAACAGACTCTTGATTGCATATTTTATGTATAGTAGGATATTTGTTTTAAAAAATAACAGATCGAAGACTTGACTCTTCATTATTCTTCTTATTCGGACTTACTTCCAGCAAAACACATTTATCAAATAAATTGTTTTCGCTTATTGACAAGGTTTTGAACTTAAATATACCTAATATGTATGACGTATGTAATGTGTAGTTATTTAAATACCAGTAATTAGTATGTTACACTATAACAGAAGACAACGTAAATTGCGCCCAACGACAGAAGAATAAGTAAATTGCAGTCAATACATTTCAGGTATAAAGTTCTATAATGTAGTTAATCTACATTTTATTTCAGCAACAAATGTCCATGTTGTATTTATGATTTATTTGTTATTTTATTTCTATAAATGTCGATAAAAAATTATTCAATTGGTCCAAAAGCTTAAAAATGTAACACATGACGCCACATAAGTTGTTATTAAATTACTATTTAAATATATTAAAGATATAAAATAATTTTTTTTTCTTATATTTTTAATTTATACAATTTGTATAAAATATTTTTTTTAAAAAAAGCACAACAGATAAAGGGATAAATAAGTGGGCTTGATTGAAGAAACTATTCGGTAATAAGACTTCACGACGAGGGTAAAGACAAGGATCTATATGGATAACATAATATTATGAATTATTATTTGTTTTTATAAGCATTAAAGTTAAAATCTGACTGAGTTAATTTTGCATGTTATTCTTAAGTAGTTCAACATTTATTAAATGTTCAATTTCTATATTAAGGCTCAATTTAAATATTTTTTTAATTATTTTAGGGTTTGGATTGTTTAGATGGATGGTATATGTATTAGTCAGCTATTTGTAGGCTGTTTACAATCTTAGCAACTTTTAAAAATATAATGTAGGCTTAGTTGCTCTATAGGAGTGACTAGATTTCATGGCCGCCTAGCTAATAACAGGTGCTACTTTAATAAACCTAAAAAACCCTACACAATTACAAGCCCTTTCCGGCTCAATAATGAAGTATTTGTGCATTTCTTAAAACAGTCTGAATTATCTGCTTATAATTAATAATCTACAGTATTTACAATACCATTAAAATTAAAATTTAACTAAAAAAAAATATTATTCATCTACAATCCTGTAGGATTACACCACCTAGCTACAAATCGAAAAATAACACAACATTGTTGTAACATCCAATCATAAATGCGAACCGTAACCGTCGTCTGTCTCAAGTCTTTATATAGTATATTAGTATATAGGTTTTCCAATGTCGGGAACATATATCTCTATAGGTAAATGGTAATATTATAGCGATACACAAAAGAAATTTTTTTAAAATACAATATTTGTAACTCATCTGCTGCAACTTAAGACTCGGTTCATCGGTACCTCCCGGAAATTGCAGGGGCAGCCCGGACACCCTATGCCGCCGTAGGCAAGCACCACTGAGTTGCTCATATTATGAATTCCGCACAAACGTCACCACAGTACCCACATAATAGTCTAGCTAGTCAGTTGTTGTACTCCGACAAAATTAAAATGATAGTTTCTCGCCTGCTCGACCGCTGCCTAAGTGGGTAGGTAATGTCACATAGGTATAACGGGCGACGTCGTGTCATTATTATGCTAATAATCGCGATTCGCAGTTTGTGCGTGCCAATACGCCACTTGCACACGAGCGCTGCACCGGAATCGTCGTCATTGTTTGATAATAATAATTAATATCAATCTTATATTTTCATAATGCACTGTAGGTATACCGACGATGGCGGCGATGTCGCGTTATTATAATTGGTTTCCTAACCTCCGAATACCGTGTCCCGCCGCCCATACCGACTGCGGTCGTCTCGAAAACGAAGGCCACTGTCATTCTGTCTCCAGCCCGATGAACAAGACCCATGTACATGGTAGCCACTGAGGTAACAGCTAGGTAGGTACAACTAGGTACTGTGACTATACAGCTGCTGCAGTCGTACGACTACGATAATAGTGTTGCAGTTTGAAGCGGGAAAAATAATAATACCCCCCCCCCCCC